GCGGGCGTCCGGGCGGCTGGGCCGCGCGGGGAGCAGCAGGCTGGAGCCGAAGGTGCAGAAATGGGGTCAGCCGAGCTGAGAAGAAAATAACCCCGGGCTGGGTTCCGGAGGGGCACAGCAGCCCTGAGCCGGGCGGGCAGGCAGTACCTCCGCGTGCATGTAGGCAGCCTCGGCGTCCCGCTGCAGCGAGCTCTCGAGGTCGGCCAGGCTGTTGGTGAGGAGACTGGAGCAGTTCTCCTTGCCCCTGCGGTGAGGATCCTGCACACCCTCCTCCATGCTGGCTCCTGCCCGGTGGCCTTCCTGGGTGAAGTTCCTGGACATGCCCTAAAAAAGCAAGGGAGGAGACTCCATGTAAAGGCAAGGGAAGCTCCACAGCCTCCACACCAGAGTCCAGGAGACAGAGCTCTGTGCTCCCAACTTAGGCTCACAGCTGGGCTTGTCCATGGGGCTGGGCACTTCATCTGCTACGAAGATGCCCCTGGCCCCAGTGAGATACAGAAACTCTATCCCTGGTGTGCACATCCCAGATCCACTCTTTGCCACAGGGCCCCAAGGATCAGAAAAGTGGCCTTAAGGTTCTTCAACACCCATCTTCAGTCATGCTCGTTGGCTCATAGAAGGAAGAGGAAAAGACTAGCTTACGTCCCAGCCTTGCATCCTTTGCCTCTGGCAGCAAGTTCATCTCCCATTTATTAATTGTGCTTTCCTATCAGGGTTCCATCCTGTCTGGCTGCTGCCTACCTGACTCCCAAGGCAAGTTCTTGAGCCCAGCACCCAACTCATCCAGCTTCTGTTCTCCTGGTCCTGCCCCGCTGCCTGGCCACGCAGCGCCTGCACTCAGGGACTGCTCTTCCCCACCAAACTCTGCTTCCACAGAAGAGAGGGAGAAGTTGGGCAGAAGAGCAGACACAGTAACCCTCAGAGAGCTGGGACCAGGAGGCAACTGGGGTTTTCCGCAGTTCACTGGGTAGCCAAACCCCCTTGTCCTTCTCAGTCCCCAAACCCTAGGCACACCTGGTATCCAAGGGGATGCTGCTCATCTCTCCTCAGTCTTTTACATGTTAAATGGCAACTGCTTTCAATAGGTGGCACATCAATCAAAGCATTTTTGCACAGAGACTGGGGGCAGTTGCCCCCAATCTTTATTTTTCAGTCTGTCCTGTCATTAATTTTGCCCAAAACCCACTGTGACCTCCATCTGCGGCCCCAGCATCACCAGCTGATGCAGCAGCTGCAAACTAGAGCTAAAGCAGAGACGCTGTCTTGCTAGAGAAGGCACTAACTCTGCTGACCAAGTACTTGAGGCTCCTTCACTTTACCAACACAGTTTGTGTCAAATACCTTGTTATAGTGGAAACAACTCACAATCCCTTCTCACCTCTGCAAAAATACCATCCTGAGCTCAGTTAACCCCTAACACCCTCCACAGGCATCTGAATTCCCAGTCTTCACCCAGGTACTGCAAGTCACAGATTTACCACGCAATTCTGAGTCAGATAATGTGGGGACTTTTCAGCAAGCATTTTGCTGTAGTAAGAAAAAGAACGGGGGATCTCATGATGCTTTCCTAGGAACAGCCCAGGAGCATAAACAGCTTCAACACTGCCCTCCTTTTGGGACGATGACTGATTCTGACAGCCTTGTATCCTTATCACTTATTCTGTTTAATGTTTGGCTTATGACCTGCTTAGGAATAAAATTTGCCTCCCCTTGAGTGGGGAGGCACCACCAAAGCCCAGTCTGTGATGCTGTTTGAGGCCACTCAGTTGCTTCACTGGGGAGCAGCTGCCAAAACCACACTTGCCTAAGAGGCAAGTGCTTTGAAGCCATGCCAGGCCCTTGTTCAGCATCTCAGCTGTCCATTGTATCAGATCCTGTGGTTGATGCAGGGTACGATACCCCTCTTCCTCCTCCTCTCAAAGGGAATTTATGTGCTAAGCCAGCAGCAGGAAGAGTTTCACACCTGCTGCCTACACTGCCTGCACCAGATCTGCCCTGCCCCAGTGGCACTGAGGAATCTCTTTCTAACCCAGACCTCTCCTGTCTGAGTGCCTGCAGGCAGCTTCAGCTGCTTGTTACATGACCCTGTGCTGCGAAATTAAAGACTCAAATCTGTGAATTCCTCCCTCCTACACCTTCACTGCCGCATCTCTGACCAAACTCCTTCAGCCAGACTGAGCTTTCTGCCCATCTGCCTCGCTGTGATGGGTTGTGAGCAGAGCAGCCATGCTGCAAAGCCAACCCAACACGCCCAAACAGACACATGCCATCGGCACTGCTGGCACCGAACCTCCCGTGCAGGAAGTGGCTGGTAGATGGGGCCACTTTGGTACTGAAGAGCGCAGTGATATCCCCACTGAAGTAATCCCTTATGTCATTTGTCAACACCCAAACTCCTAGCACTTCACCTTAGCCTCTGACTGAGCCATCAGCAAGGTCTCTGACGAACCCCACTCGCTGGCCTGACATGCTGTGTCACTCTGATGTGACCTGTTTAAAGGTGACAATGTCTAACAACACCATTTTCAGGCAACTAGCTTCAGATGAGACAAATTAATGAACCACAGATCCATAAAGGATGCCAAAAAAGGCTCGTCCCTTCCATCATCCCTAATTCAGCTACCAGCAGATGTGAAATAGCAGCAGAGCACCAGCCTGCCCCGATGGGGCCCTTGGTGTTCACCACAGCATCCCCTGCTCTGGGCAAGCCCAGCTCACCGGGCCGTGGGACAGGGCTCACCCCACTGCCAGATCTGCGGCCACCAGTGCTGCTGGTGAATCTCCCCAACCAGGCCACGCAACACAGGGCTGGCAGTACAGCTCCCTCTTCCCTCACTCCTCTCCCCTAGTTAGCAAAGACTCATTGGCAAACCCAAGTAACAACTGGAGAATACGCTAAACCACAGGGAGAGGGTGGGATTGCAAACAGAAACATTGGTTCTTTGTTATTGTTAGACCTCAAAATCCCTTTTCCCCCTTTTGGGTCAATCACTGTGCTTGGAAACCCAAAGCCCCGCAGGCAAGCACGATCCTCTCGGCTGTCTCCTTCCTGACCCCGGGACGGAGCATGCCGTGCCTTCCCAAAACACTTTGCAAGTGGAATTTTGGCTTTATAAATCATTGCTTGGCTCCTGGCTGCAGACAAACAGGACTGCTCCACTCCAACAAGAATGTGGAATTACTGTCCCAGATACGGACCACGGGAGAAAACTGCAGTATTGGAACTGGCAACCTGTTGCTACGTATCTGAGCACAGCTTAACAACTATCTTGCACTAGCCAAAGAAATATTAAACTGTATGGAAGTGAAAATTATTTCACTGGAAGTCCACTCTAAAAAAAAAAAAAAAGGAAGATACTTTATCTATCTCTTTACCAGCATTGAAGGCTAAGCCTTGTTTTAATGCAGGCCAAGATTTAACTTGGTCCTTAAGGAATGTGACCTCCTTTGCTGCCAGCAGTCCTAGTGAGTGTAGACACCACTCTGGCACCAGCCCTAAGCCTCTCACTCCCACATATAACAGCACAAAAGCACCCAGTTGAGAGCAACTACCACACCAGCAGAGATGTAAAACTGGGAAGAGGAAAAACTTAACAGCAGGCCCTTTGGACCCCAAGGAGATGCTGGTCCTGGGGAGGCCAAGGCTGAGATCCCACACCCAGTCTGGGCCAAGAGGGATGGGGTGAATTGGAGAGGGTCGGGGAGGCTGACAGGGTGGTGATGTGCTGGGCACTGCCTGCGAGGAACTATGGAGAGTCTAGTCTGGTCCAGCTTAGTTTCAGCCAAATAGTTAATTAACATTTTTTCCAAAAGGTGCAAGGCTCTGAATGTATCAAAGGTACCAAGAACTTGATCTGAGGCAAGTCCCATGAAAGGCAATAACCCTGAAGGAGAACAGGACTCATCTTACCTCCTCGAGCTTTTCCACACGACCCACCAGCTTAGTTGTGACTGAGTGCAGCTTCAGAAGGTCCAAGCCATAAAAGGCACTTTCCAGCATCTCAACAATGGAGGACAGCTGCAAGGCAAAGGGAGCACACCGTCAGTCAGAGGCACCTGCTATGAAGTACCCTGCATGGTTGCTACAGCCAAAAAAATCAAGGGCAACACAAGCATCTGAGTGCAAGAGGTTTATCAAAAAGCGGGTTTTCCTCACTCAGCCCTGCTGCATTGCGGCTGCGGTCGGAGCATACCACACCACCTCTGCAGAGCTTCAGGGCTTCGGGAGGCTGTTTTGGGCACTGGGGACTAGTGAGCGGACAAGGAGGAGCACTGCCCTCCTTTCCAGCCCTAGGCAGGCTTTCTCACAAGCCCAAAGGCTTAGCTATCCCACCAGTGACATGACCAACAGCAAAAGAGGCAACAGGAGTACAGCAGCTCAAATAAAACTGAGTTTGAGATTAGACCATGAGTTCATGCCATCACATGCTTTTTTTTTCCTGGAACAAGAAGAAACTTGTTAAAACATTTTAAAATGTTCATAAATTCAGAAGTGAAGCAACTGAATTTCAGTGCCAGCCTGGTAACAGTTCGCTTCCCTGGAGAATGACTTGATCAGAGGGGTGCTCCTTCAGCCTCCCATTTTAGACAAACCCCGTATTTTACTCAGCCCCTTCTCACAGCAGGAAGGGTTGAGTCCCCATGTCCTGCTCCCTCCAGTCCCACCGGTCCAGTGTGGTTCTGCAGATCTTACAGCCTCTATGGCTGAGAAGTACTTTCAATGCTTATGAGCTACTACAAGGTGGTGACATTTTCTCCCAGCATCTACAAACTGATCAACAGAACTCCATAAACATGGGAGAAGTACAGGCAGCACTGCTGGCAGCACTCTGAGTTTCCACCCCAGCCTCTGCAGTCTCCCTGTGGAGCTGACAGCAAAGGAAAGATATTTTTGGGCCAGATAAAATGGCAGCATTAAGAGACAAGGACTGTTTTATGGCTATGCATCCACTTTCCACTGAGAACTGGACGGAGACAACCAATACAATGCACACGACCTGCCAGACAGCCACTGGAGACATGCGCTTTCCCTCCAGGCTGGATAACTTCCATCAATGCACAAAGGTTGCAGACTTTATTAGCCACCTTCCAAATCTTCCTGAACACAGACTCCTTGCCCAGACTCTGCATCTGAGACTCCCAAAATACACACTGTGCCTACAAGCAGTGGAGTGGCAAGTTGCAATTTCAGAGAAGCAGATCTTAGAGTCAGCTACCCCTGCAAACACCAGGCTGACCCTCCCTGAAAGGCTATACTGATGTACACACCGGCATGCTGTTTCCTCCCCTTCACCCACTGCAGACTGGCTCTTGCTCTCTGGTGGTCCACACACTCCCAAAGGACCTTATTAAAGGTAGGGATGGGACTGAAACCTTCAGCTGGGACACCCAGCACAGCCATTCAGCACTCTATTGGGGTGCCCCAGGGGTAACCCGGCTCTCTGGGCTTACCTACTCCCTTCATTGATGTTCCCTCAGGGATGCATTCTCCAGCCCACTCATTGCAAGAGAATGCTCTCATTTTGGGTAACTTCCCGTGGCTCTCCAGCAAACAGAGTAGCCAGGAGAGTCAGAGCATAAGAAAGTCTGGCAAAACTCAACAGACACAGAGCACAACTCTATGTGTCCTGCTGCTGGACCCAGCAAGAAAAGTGCCCATCAGACCAGGAGGGAGAGTAGAACCCCTGGGGCTGTTAGAAGTAAGGAGGTGACCCGGCCCATCCCTCCCAGCCTCCCTGCTGGGCTGAAGAGCATGGGAGCTGCTCCTCGTGAGTGGCGTAGGAACCGGAGGGGCGAGAGGCGGCTGTTGCCAGCGGGCCCGGCCCGGGAGGCCCGTGCCCGGCGCGGAGCGAGCCTGCCCTCACTGCTCCCGGGGCTCTGCTCCCGCAGCAGAGAAAAACCCCACGTGTGTATGTTTGGGTAAGCCTTGTGAAATCGTTTGGCCGCAGATCCCTGTGAAATGAGCGGGGGAGCCTGGGCCAGTTCCTAGAGGACAGGCTTTCACACCACAGCTGGCTGTGAGCGGCTCCCCAGCGGGGGGAGGCAGCCGCAGCCAAGGGCGCAGCTAGCCACGCTGCTCTGCTCCTCCTGGAGCCCATGCTCCGAGAGGATGGGCAGAGAGGTGCGAGCGGAGGAGCTCTGCCTGCTCCAGGAAAGGGACTACAGGGGAGCACCGTCACCTCAGAGGCTGGCCCCTCACCTAACCCCAGAAAGCTCACAGCTCATCATCCAGGGCCAAGTGGGACATCCTGGCTTCTCCTGCGGAGGCCACCAAACAACTCCAGGCTAGGACTCCTTCTTCCCTGAAATGATGGATCGTCTGCCAGTGACTGTTTATCTCCCTAGCTGCAGGGGAGCTTGAACAAGAAGCTGCTAACTGTTTGCAGTTGGACAGGATGAAACACATCCTTGAACTCCAAATTAATTAAAACAAAACCATCGCGGTGGCCCTGGCAGCAGGCTGCCCTGCAGCACCCCTCCACTACCTGCCTTCCCACCTCAGCTGGGACTAGCAGCACTGCCCCAGGGTACAGCCCATCACCACCCACACAAACACCATGAGCACTCAACCTTCTGTGCTGGGGACTCCCCTGGCCAGGACCATGTCTGTAGCCTTTTGGGGAGGATTTCTGCTGCCCTACTCAGGACAAGCTGGCGAACTCAGCAGAATCTGCTGCCAGCTGCTAGACCAGGAAAAGTATCCAGTAAAAGCCACGAGTACTTAGAATAAATACTGTCACATTTGGAAAAGAAGTATGTGTTACTAAAGAGATGAAATACTTACAGAGTATAGAAGTGTCAGCATTTAAAACAAACAACAAAACCCATCCCACCATCAGCCAGCTGGGTAACACACCCTCACACTGACGTAGCAGCAGATTTTGGCCCATGGAAGCCAAAACAGATTTTTGTGTGGGTCCTTGAGAGCGATCCCCTCTCAGCGACGGGAAAAAGCCCTGGCAGCTGCTGAGAGGAACTGTCCCCTGGGGACACTTCATGCAGGACAAAGGGCAGGGAACAGCCCAGGCCCTCCTGGGCTTCCAGTGCAGACAGACATGTTGGACCCCAGGCTGCATGGTATGAATCGAATGAATCATCAACTGCAGCTGCTCGAATCAATCCCTTAAGCTGAGCTTGATTTTGTATCAAAAAGGCAGATATAAAAGTAACTAGGAAATATTTTAGGAAAAAAGTATAGGACAAAAAATTTTTTTAGAAAAACCTCTGAAAGGAAAGGCTTCAGAAGATCTCCCCCTCCTGGATATGCCCCAATTTCAAGTCGCTCTCCTACCTTCAGGTCGCTACTCTCTGCCTCCCGAAGCTTCTTCAGCCTGAAGTCCCCCTCACAGGGATTGAGTGCCGAAGGGGGGGCCACACACGCACACTTGCAGCTGGGTCCTGACGTGATGGTTTCCACCGTGTAAAAATCCTCGGCTTTGAAGGTGCCTTCATTAATCCTTTGGCAGGCGCCACGGCCCAGGGGTCTGACCAGGCACTTGCACCGACAGTCGGAGCCTTCGGACACCGCCTTCACCTTGTCATAGTCACCTAGCAGCTGAGGACAAGGCACCAGCAGTTAGCAAACTTCTCGTCCTCCGCTTGCCCAGCAAGGGACAAGGACTCTCTGGACCTAAAGGTCCAAACAAGGACCCTTTGGACACCCTGAACCTTAAGGAAACTGTCCAGCTCTTTGCAAATCTGCTGACCAAGAAGTTTTCTCAAGAGCACAGAGCTTTCTGATCCCTACCTACAATGGGAATAAAAAATAGCTTCTTTCATCAGGATATTTTTTATTACACTTTGCATAAAATGGACCTGACTGCTTTGAATTTTAAATATGAGAATTTTAATCACAATCCTTATCTTGCTCTCTTTTAATGCTCTATGTCTAGTAAACCAAATAAGTCACTTGCTACCCTGAGCAAGGTTTCTTTACATGGGCAAACAGGGTAAGGGTGTGCTGGAAGGGCAACTGAAAGCCACCCTATAAGCAGCATAACCTGGTGGTGAAACAGTATTTCTGATTAGCCTCATACAATGTCAGGAATTTCCTTTACGGAGATTTGCAGACAGTGCTTCTGAAAGCCCAAGCACAAAAATAACTTTGACGGTATGTTTCCAATAGTCTCCACGCTA